GCCCTAGGGCTTCAAAGGGGGATTCTAGATAGGTGCTCTATCAATGAATCATACCCCCAGCCACCCACTGGTGGATTATAGGCAAACATACACCCATGAGTCATGCCCCCATGCCTCTCACAGGTAGCTGCTAGGTAAACGATCTATCACTGAGCAATATTCCCAGCACCTCATTGGTGGCCTCTAGGCAGGTGTTTTGCCACTGAAATGTGCCATGAATCCCTCAGTGGAGGATTCTAGGCAAGAATGGCAGCATTTGAGCCACACCCCTCATCTCTTTCCCTGGTGGGTTCTAGACAGGAGCCTACCCAATGAGTTAGGCCCACAGCCACAGTAGAGAGAGATCTTACTAGGCACCTGTGGTGCTGACCACAACCACTTGCGCATGGCCACAGGTGCCTACTGGCATATGGCCAGATTTAGACCAGAGTGGAGGAATGGCTCACTCTATCGGGGTTCTGGTTTGGTCTGGAGAGCAGCTGAGATTGGATGCCTGGAGCACTGACCCTGGGTTATCGGTTTCTCATGTAAGTGATTTCTCCCCAATAAAATTAACGTACATCATCCCTATCCCATGTATGGTAATTTTACTCCAACAAGCCCTGGTTGATAGACTTCTGAGTTGTTTCCTCATGACTGGGACTATTGTGAATAACACTAATATAAATATCCTACACAGGTTTTTGTGTAGATTTGAGTTTTTCTCCGACTTGGGTGTCTACCAAGGGTAGAATTTGGAATCTAGGACACCTCTGTGCTTGACACTCTAAGAAGCCATCAAATTGTCAACCTTATTACATATTTGTTCACTTTTCACACAATAATCCTGTGGAGCATAGTCCTATAATTTTTGGAGTACTGGTCCACCCTGTGCATAGAAGACTCAAGTAATGATGGAAACACTCCCAAGCTTTCATATATTTTTTTGAAAAGACCCCAAAATCACAACCTCTGGCCATACGGTTTTGGGATAAAGCACTCAAATTAAATTCTAAGATAAAGTCCCTTTAAAACATGCTCAGATTTCTGTTTGTATTAAGAGTGTAAGAGACCAGTGATGTGGCTCTGTGTGTAAAGTCACCAACAGCAAAGCCTAATGACACAGTATCATCTTCAGGACAGGGGTGGGGAAGGAGAGAACCAACTCTCACAAGGCGTCCTCTGAACTCGGCACACACAAATTAATTAGTTAATTAGTTAGTTGTCAATAAATAGGTAATTCAAAGCTTTTAAGACAATAAGGGGTCTGGAGGGATGGCTGAGCAGTGACGAGAGAGTACTATTCTTACAGAAGACCCAAGTTCAGTTCCCAGCACGCGCATCAGATATCCCACAAATGCCTGTAAATCCAGCTCCAGGACATCTGATGGCCTCTTCCTGCCTCCTTGGCTTCCTGCAGACACGTGACCATGCACTTACATACAACATATACATAATTTAAAAAAAAATAAAATAAGAGACTGGAGAGATGGCTCAGAGGTTAAGAGCACTGGCTGCTCTTCCTGAGATCACGAGTTCAATTCCCAGCAACCACAGGGGGGGTCCATATATGCAGGCAGAACACTGTACACATAATAAATAAGTTCATCTTTAGAATAAATAAATTAAAACAAAATAAAACCCTCTGAACTACCCAGCACAGTGTTTTTCTTCTCCAAACTTAACATGAAAAATTTCCCACCTTCTTTGTCCTGTGGGTGGTGATCAGAATAGGCCATGCTGATAAGTGATTATCATATCCCTTGTTCTCCATATATCATCAAAAATGTGCCCTGGTATTTTGTATCTGAGGAGATTAGTCTCAGAACCTATAAGTCACATCATTTCGGGAGCACTCCCAGTGTACCTGTAGAATGATAGAGCAAACACATTCCTATCCTGTGCTTTCCTCGTCCAAAGCAATAGCTGGAGCCTCAGCAACAATGAGCAGAAACAAAACTACCTTGTTTTCATTGTAATCTGATCATCTTGGGTGTTTGTTGGAGCGGTGGAAAGTTGACTAACACAGAGTTTTGTTTGTTGACACCTTTGGTTTATGGTCTGTTTCTGCTGGCTTACCCCATAAACATCTATGAAATAGTGACACGGAATTTACATCTGGAGAAATTAAAGCACAATATCAAAAACTAAGGCTGTGACAGGCTCAAGAATATATTTGGGTTTTCTCCAAATGTAAAAATAGTGTCTGGCTGTGTGTTGGTGGTGCATGGCTTTAACCCCAACACTCGGGAAGCAGAGGCAGTCGGATCTCTGTGAGTTCCAGGTCAGTCTGGTCTACAGAGCATGTTCTAGGACAACGTCCAAAGCAATACAGAGGAACGCTGTTACGATAAATCTTTCTGCCAAAGGCCACCAAGCCCCACTGCCATGTGTGCGCTTTATGCTAGCCACCTGCCCAAGTTAGGCCCAAATGAATACACAGAAACTTGTATTAGGTTCAAAGCTGCTTGGCCAATGACTAGGATTTCTCATCTGTTAGCTCAGTCTTAATTATCATAAATCTATATATGTTATAAGACTTATCTTATCGGACACCTTATTGGTGTCCCTCCTTGCTGGTGGCTCACATCCTGCCGTGGAGGAGGCGAACAGGAAAAAAAAAATGACCCTTCCTGTTTCTCCTTCGCTTAAATATGAGTCTCCTTGCTATGTCACTTCCTGCCTGGATCAGCACTTCTCTACTACATTTCCCAGAATCCTCTTTGACTCCTAGTTCTGTCTAACTTGCTGTCTCATTGGCCAAACAGTATTTTATTTAACAATCAATAAGATAAACATACATAGTAGTACATTCCCCATCAGAACGCTGTCTCAAGAAACCAAAAAAAAAAAAAAAAAAAAAAAGTGTCTGGGGGGGTGGCTCAGTAGTTAAGGCCATGGACTGCTCTTGAAGAGGACCTGAGTACAGTTCTCAGCATCCATGTCTGGCAGTTCACAACAGCCTGTAACTCCAGTTCCAGGACATAGGCCCTCCTCTGTATTCTGCAAACACCACACTCTTGTGCACAACCCACACAAAGACACACATACATACACACATAACCAAAAAATAAAATTTTTAAAATCAACATTTCGGTATGATACAAGTCCTGGAGAAACTCAGAATAGAAAGAAGCTGTGTGGAGACAACAAACCATCTATAACATATCTATAGCCAGTCATTTTATTAAGAGGGGGAAAAAACTCAAAGCATTTTTAGTCTTGTTTCAAGGACAGAGAAATACAAAGTGTTCAGCTGCAATCTCCAGCTCACCCCTGCTTGATCTGCCCATTCTTCCTTCTCCAAACCCCTCCCTCTCTGAAAAAAACTCTAAAAAAGCCCAGTTCTGCAGTGGCCGTGGCTCCTCCCCTTAGCTGCTAGCTGCTGAAGACCCCGCCTACTATCGCGCCATACTTGGGTTCACCTGGAGGACCCATCCTCACGCCCCCTACAGGGTATCTAAGCCCCCTCTGCAGATCTGGCACGTGAATTTCTCCAATTCTTTGCCCTACCTCACTCTCTGGGGCCTGGAGGGTCACACAGGAGAGCTTTGCCAAAACAAAGCAGGTCTTTTACTTTTTGATTTGCCTTATTCTGTTTGACTGTGTCAGAGGAGAAATCTATCAGAGGATCAAAGGACTGGGAGGGGCAGAAAGAAGAGGTTTTGGAGGTGACTGTGGTCAAACTGTATGATGTAATTGAAAGAGAACATAGGTAGGAAAGCTGCCATGGTGATGATGAATTTCCAATCCTCCTGCCTCTGCCTGGCTTTTCTGAGAATGAGGTTGCTAAGTTTGTATTTTGCCTGATGTCGGGGATAGAAAGAAAAACATGACCTTCCTGTATACAAGTTATTTTTATGTTTTGCAGGAATTAAAAAAAGGAAAAGAAGCCAGGCAGTGGTGGTGCAAACCTTTATTTAATCCCAGCACTCGGGAGGAAGGGGGCAAGTGAATCTCTGAGTTCGTGGCCACCCTGGTCTACAAAGTGACTTTCAGGCCAGCCAGGGCTACACAGAGAAACCCTGTCTTTAAAAGTAAGAAAGAAAAGAAAAGAACAGGGGCTGGAGCTATGACGCAGTGGTTAAGAGCACCAGCTGCTCTTGCAGAGGACCTAGGTCTGAATCTCCCCACCCACAGGGTGTTCACAATCATCTGTGACTTTAGTTCCAGGGGACCCAGCAGGTTTTGGCTTCCCTGAGAATTGTATGCACACGGTGCACACACACACACACACTCAGGCAGGCACATATGTATCTATAAAATAAATACTTTATGTAACTTTTCAATTTCTATGCATTGTTGCCTAAAATAAGAATCACATTGCTTTCCCCATTTGCTTTCCTCCCAAAGAACCCTCCCTCCAGACTTTGGGGTACACAGATATTATGGGCTATCCAGACAATAGTGTCCAGTAATAGTTTTCTGATCACAGTGCCAAGTTCCTTTCTGCCTCTATCCATAGTTTCTGTCTCCCTCTTCTCGGTAACAGAAATGAAGGAGCCACAGCAACTCTGAAAATATGTATCATCTACTCCTTTATTTAAGTGCCTGCAGGGCTGGGAATGTGGTAGAGGGCTTGCCTGGCTCGCACAAACCCTGCTAGGCTGTGCTCCATGAAATGGCCCCATACCCATGAGTATTGGGGAACGCAAACTGAGCTGGGGGGAGGGCTTGTTTTTTCAGTTAGAAGTGTGGGGTCCATCTGGAAAGAGTGGGAGATGGATGTTCTCAAAAAAATGCACTCTGAGAAATTATCGAAATGTCAATCAAAATATACTAATTAAAAAAAAAAAAACACCCCTGTAGAGTGGCACACCCACTTAATTCCAGAACTCAGGAGGCAAAGGCAGGTGGATCTCTGTCAGTTCGAGGCCAGCCTGGCGTACCTAATGAGTTCCAAGTTAGCTAGGGCTACCTACTGAGAGCCTCTCTCAAAAGAATTAAATGAGAAAAAAAGATGTCCCCACAGAATTAGAAGGGACCAGCACTGAGAAAGTTGTGTGCCCGGCGCAAGTGGCTTAGTGCAGCACAGTGCTCACCCCCCGGAGTCGGGCCAGGGCACACTGGGCTGCCATGTGGACCTCACGGTTCCGAAGGCTGTAGATGAGAGGGTTGAGAACAGGTGTGACCACCAGGTAGAAAACGGCCACCAGCTTATGATGTCTGGCGGGGAGAGCGCTAGAGGCTCGGGGCCGCAGGTACATGGCACTCACGGTGCCATAGAAGAGCCCCACCACCGCCAAGTGTGAGCTGCAGGTAGACAGGGCCTTTCGGCGACTCCCAGCCGAAGGCAACCTGCTCACTGCAGCCAGAATCCAGGCGTAGGAGGCTAGGATGAAGGCCAAGGGTACCAGGAGGATGGGCACGCCCAGGCCGTAGACCAGCCTGTAGTTGGCTGTGGTGTCCGCACAGGCTGTCCTCAGCACGGCAGGCAGCTCACAGAAGAAATGATCCACCGCAGGCCTCCCGGGACAGAAGGGCAGGCGCAGCGCGGCCACCGCATTGGGCACCGACAGCCCAAAGCCCAGAGTCCAGGACGCTCCAGCCAGCGCTGTGCAGCGGGGCATGGTCACCAGGCTCGCATAATGCAGGGGTCTGCACACGGCCAGACAGCGGTCCAGGGCCATGGCGGCCAAGAGGATGGCCTCGCAGCTGCCCAGGGAGATGCCCACATACAGCTGCGCCCCGCAGCGTGCCAGGGACAGGCGGGCTTGCTGCATGGCCATGTGTGCCAGCGCCTGCGGCAGCGTGGTGCTCACATAGGCCGTGTCCAGCAGCGCCAGGTGGGTCAGCAGGCGGTACATGGGCCGGTGGAGTCGTCTGTCCAGGGTTATCAGTCCCACGAGGGCACCATTTCCCAACACCGTGGCCAGGTAGGCCAGGAGAAGAGAGGCCCACAGCAAGGGACGCAGGGAAGGTGGGGCCCACAGCCCCAGCAGGAGGAACTCGCTGGTCCCTGAGTCATTGAGGGTTCCTGGGCCCATCCTGGGGACAGAGACAAGGGCAGGATCACTGCAGCCCCTCTGGGCTAGGAGGGTAAGGGATGGGGTGGTTTCCAGCTCCTCCCCCCCTTCCTCGCCCCTACTTTTTCCTCCCCATCTC